AAAAATATGTTAGCTATAGTGACTTTGGTATTTAGGTATTAAATCTATATGCTGTCTAACACTCTGCTTTTGCTGGTCACTAATTTGATTGGGTCTGTTCGAATGTCGGCCACGTTTATCTTTTTCTGGTACAGGAGTTCCTCTTATTTTCTTTGAAACGATGTTGTTCAGTCTACCCTTTGATTTTTGCAGACCGTGAACATTTAGAAACTCGGTTTTACACACGTTTACTGTTTGGTCATTAGCATTGACAGAATAAATCGCATTGGAAGTTCTACTTGATTCTTGTCGTTTTTGCCTTGTTTTGTAAGATCTCTTTTTCTTTGCTATAGCAATGCATCCAAAGAGATACCCATTCTGCAATTCCCATGATCCCAAATTCCAAAATTCATTGAAAATACGGTTTTCATTACCATCTAGTTTCTCTCTACATCTTTTTTTACACTCACAAGGAGGTCCTAACTCCCGAGCTGCAACAGTCTTTTTGGTTTTGTCACTAGTATACTGCTGTCCCAGATTTCTTCTTATTTTTCTTTTTGATCGTGGATATGTGTCTTCTTTTCGGTGTTTCCATCTACTTCTAAGGGCAGGTTCAGGTGTATCAGCCCTAATCCGTTTTAATGTTCTGCTCCCTGTTTCCCCATCTGATTCTTTTATACCATCGTTCTATATTGAAAAAGCAATACTAAACTAGCCACCCAATGACAACCCAATTTGCTTGCATAGAATTAACAATGGCAATACAATAACATGCCACATAAATGAAAAAAGTCATTTTCCTGTTGATTTGTATCTACCTTTTCTGCATCACTAGGTACATAATCTCTATCAATATCACTATCATCGACTGGAGAATCTACATCTCTCATTTCACTGTTCATTATATTAAAATTATTTGATTCACATGCACTTAAGTCACGACGCGTTAAAATTTTTGTGTGATTTGTCATTGTTTATTTTCACAAAACAAATGCGTATGTAGCAACGCAAGATCATTACTACGAATTTGTGGTGCTATGCTTTGGAATATTTTCAAACTATTTATTCCGTGACTTATTATACTTTTGTAGAACTCGAAAATAAGCAAAAGACATATTTGAAAAAAATGTGACTTGTCATTGTTTCACACTAAGCCCTTCAATTATAAATTGCTCTTTGAGCACGCTTTTGTAGCTCTTTTATAATTGCTATGGTTAGATGTTTTCGTCCATTTATATTGATGGAGGTGTCCGTTTTTATTTTATGTAATGATTTACCATAATTTTTTATCGCTTGGTTTGTGCATCTTTTCGACAGCACCCCCATACGACACTTTTTTTTTGTATTTGATAAAATACGCTTGAATCCCCATCAGCTATAAACTTCAAATACTTCAAGCCATGCATTTCGATGATTTTCAAAAACCCTTCTACAATAATATCTGCTTCCATAGCTGACGAGGACCCTTGCCAATTTTTGAAACAATTGTGGGCGGACGCAATATTATTTTTATTTTGTGCTCGCTCACAGATTGAACAATATTTGTTCCGAACACCCAAGAATAATAGTTGGCCCGTTCTTTTGCTTATTATAACCCCCTTTAAAATTGCTATTTAAAAATATGTAATGGTAAGTAACATTTACTTAGATGCTGTGTTATAGTTATGACCTCTTACTCCAACCGCCATCACAATAAACCAATATCCATGGTATACCATCCGTGTCCACATCATCTGCTTCTTTAGCAAGTCGGCACTCTTCCATTCCTGCAGCCTCCATTGAATGCCATAATTGATCCTTCCAGGACGTAGGTAGCGTTCTTTCGGTTTTTGAAAATTTATACTTTGTTAGCATTGGAATTTCCAATGTTGAAAACAAATGATCAGTTTGGGTATAAGTACCACCATTCACAATAGTTCCCTATACTACAGACGTGTTTGGCGAAAGTGTACTCTGTTTATGCGTGGAACACGAAAATTTCTTATTGCAGAACTCGCACGTTAAGATTAAATCACTGCATAAACCGTTACGTTTTTCGTTGTCTATTATAATTTTCCCAAACGTACATTTTTGTAAATGCTCAAACTGAATTGACAGTAAAGTTTCAGCAAAGTATTGAATATTGACAATTCGGTTACCGTGTAACATTGTTTTGGGAGTTCTTGTACTATCTGTTTCCACCGATAGCTTATGGTACTTTATGTTGAAATATATTCAAGAACAGTTATATATTCAAAATATAAATGTATAAAATAATGTCTACCTATTGTACTCTGACGTAGACATAAAATATTCGCCGATAGATTTGACTCGTGAATATACTTTTGTGGGTTTTATACAGATAAAGTCACTAATCTCGCTGAAATGGTAAAAATGACAACATAGGTTTTTTTGGTAGTAAATTTACTAATGAGCTAGAACCAAGGTTTAGATTTACCTGTCCACATTCATGTCAGTAACTTCTTACCTACAGGAAATAAAAATTTTTGTGTATTTATGATTCATACATAATTAAAAATACCTGTCCATTAAGTATTCCCCTTCAATGTCTTGCGTGTTTAAAGAAGAGGATGAAGTTTTCAATGATTTTCGTAAATCTTCGAATAGATATGATTCTTGACAAGTGCTAAAAAAATATATCAAACAGTTATGTTTGTAGTGTATACCTTTTCTTTACAAACTCTTGCAAATCATCAATCGATCGTCGATTTCGCTTGTGAGGGCGTGATGGTCGTTGCTTGCCCGGAGATATGGCTACTATAATAAAAAATAAGGTATCCCTGCTAACGTATGCCCTGTAAGCTAACAATAAGTTGAGGTTTCCTTAGCATTATTATATAAATAGTAAATAAAAAATCACCAGCAATAAAACTAAAAGATGCACTATGAAAGTATATAACAGCAACAATAATAACAATAAAACTATAACAACAACAATAACAAATAACAGTTCACCAAAAGAAAATTACGATATAACAAGATTACTAAGGCTTTATGCACGCTTCCTGTGATCGTATTCGACAACGAATGAAGTCTTAGGCCTTCTACACACGGAACCGCTCGTCATAGACTAGTATTACACATGGCGACGCAGTGTCGCGATTTCGTCTAAAACATGCAAGCTGCAAGTCGCCCGGCAAACAACAGCATCTGGTGCTTGGCGTAGAGGATGGAAATGGAAGTAAAAATGAAAGTGATCAAATGGTGCAGTTTGTTCAATTTATTGAAAATTACCAATCTGTCGGCTAGAAAAGATCTAGCCGACAGAGCTTGGTATGCAATAGGCCAACCAATGAAATCGTTTGGAGGATCTGTTAAAGATGGCAAAGTAGTTGGTTGGATGGCAATATTATTGCTTCCCAACCAACGACCAAATGTGGAAATCCAAATGATGCCTCCATCACTATTACGTCCAGCATATCCGCACTCTATTGTTGAGAACAGACCATCAGCAACACAACAACCAAACAAAATAACAGAATGA